GAACAACTGACTTCAGGAACTGCTATTGAGGTCAGCCAGGCACCCCTTTTGGAACGTGTTGTTGGATCATGATAGTCTACCTGCATTGGTTCGATAAAGTTAAATATTCTTACACAATATTAATCTGTCAGATTTGACATTATCAATTTAGAAGAAAGCTCATCAGATTTCTGCCACCCTAACCAAGCTGTTCTGGGCAAGAGGTGGAACTTAAACCTGGGTCTCCTGGCTCAGAGGTAGGGACACTACCCCTGCACAAGATCCTTTTACCACTAGCCTCTCTGTGTGTGTATTTGTGTGCGTGTGTGCACGTGGGAGGATTTGAGAGAGAGAGAGACTGCATGCATGTGTGAGAGAGAGCAAGACAGTGTGTGTGCGTTAGTGAGAGAGAGTGAGTGTAAGAGTTTGTGTGTGAGAGTGAGCGAGTGTGAGAGAGAGTGTGAGAGTGAGAGCATAGGTGACAGAAAGAGTGTATGTGAGAAAAAGTGTGTGTGTGTGTATGAGAGTTTGTGTGAGTGTGTGAATAAGTGAACGAGGGTCTGTGAGTGTGTGAGAGAGCGCAGTTGTGAGTGTGTGTCTTTGTTTTTGAGACCTTTGCCAGGTCATGTAGTTCCTCCCTATTTATCCTCAAGTTCCTGAACTATCTTCATCAGCTCAATCAGATCGGCCCTCAAACCTTAAACTCACGGGATTCCCAATCTAGTCTCAATGAAACCAGTACATCCTTCCAGCATAGGGCTGTTGTGGTAGTGTCTCTACCTCTGGGCCAGAAGGCCTGGGTTCAAGTCTTACTTTGCCCAAAGGTGTGTCATAACATGTGAAGTGGTTGATCCAAACTATTTATCTTTCTGCGCTAATGGTACCTGAAATGGAATACAACATTCCACAACATTCTTCTTTTTCCCAGGGCGGAAATGACTATTTCAAGTGGACACAGTCTTAAGATGATTGGAGGAAGGTATAGGGGAGATGTCACAGGTAGGTTCTTCACACAGAGAGTGGTGGGCGTGTGGAATGCACTGCCGGCAGTGGTAGTGGAGTCAGATAATTTAGGGACATTTAAGCGACTCTTGGATAGGCACATGGATGATAGTAAAATGTAGGGTTCGCACTTAGAGCAGGATAATAAGTCAGCACAACATCGTGGGCCGAAAGGCCTGTATTGTGCTGCACTGTTCTATGTTCATCATCATCATAGAATCCCTACAGTGTGGAAACAGGCTCCTTGGCCCAACAAGTCCACACCGACACTTGGAGCATTCCACCCAGACCCATTCCCCTAATCTACACATCCCTGAACACTACGGGCAATTTAGCATCGCCAATCCACCTAACCTACACATCTTTGGACTGTGGGAGGAAACTGGAGCACCCGGAGGAAACCCACGCAGACACAGGGAGAATGTGCAAACTCCACACAGACAGTCTCCCGAGAGTGGGATTGAACTCAGTTCCCTGGTGCTGTGAGGTACCGTGCCGCCCTATATTCTATATATTCTATATTCTAATACATTCTAAGCACAGCTTCCACCCTACTAGTCTCCTCCATGCCATCACATTATAAACATCAATCAAGTCTAGGAAGCTCCAATCACTCCCCACCATCTGCACCTTCCTTTTGGCAAAGAGAGTCGGAGATTTGTGTGAAAAAGTGGTTGTGATATTTTCCCTCTGAACCACATGCAGAGTCCTCACGTGAAGCTATACTCCCTAATGCCCTTGCAATACCAACCTCAGGTACGGCTATCGCTGAGCTCAGAAGCCACTGGCTATGGAAACACACTCTTATTTTGTTCCACGCGACAGGTGGGAGAAAATGGAGACTCAGGAGCTCGTCTCTGACTCTCAGTCCTTCGAGCCTACGCTGCCAACTCGGTAAAGATTGAGGCTGAACTGATTGTGAATCCAACCGGGACCAGGAAGAGAAATCATGGGGCCCAGCGCTACCTCCTGGTCCGTGCCACCGACACAGGCACAGAGCCCCTACCCTCGGCCCACACAAAGTAGGCCTCTAAAGAGGCCTGTGTAGTGATTGTAACGAAGTCAGCCAGGTGGACCTCATAGAATATGAGTTCCCTGATTGGGGCTGTTAATCTGGTCCAATCAGGGAGCCCTTGCTGACAGATAAAAACAGGCGTCCTGTTCACTCTGAGAGCTGGACTCTGAAGGAGATGGATCAATGTCAAGGAGGGTCCCCTCCAATTCTATTCTGACTCAATCCCTAGCTTTCCCCCTTCACTTTCTTCACGTAAGCATTGCCCTTCTCCGGCTTTGCTTGCTACTGGTTCACTGGCCACACGGGCATCTTCCTGGTGATGGAAATATGTGGAATAAATATTTTGCATAATGGTGCCTTTTTACCGAGCGCCTACACACGCGCACACACAAAGCACAGGGAAAATACAAGCACCACTGCAGTAAAGAGGTAGTGTAGAGGATTTTAAAAAAAAAAGAGAAAAACAGGAGGGAAAAAAGAAAACAAAAAGGTTCAGTGTTTCCTCACTTTAAAAGAAAATAAAGATGAACGTCAGGGGTTCTATTCACTCCAAGATCTGACTCGAACTACGGCAATACTAAAGTCACTGTTTATGTACAAATAAAGGGAGACCTGGTGACAGGATACCGGCGTCTGTAGAGTTATTTCAGCCTAGACTTCAATTAACGGGGTCAAATGTACCCCACCCCGTATCCTGGGCACCACTTTCCTGTCTGCCCCGACCAGAGCTTGCTATTTTCTCCTCATAAGACAGTCCCTCCATACCTGGAATAAGTCCAGTGAACTTTCTCTGCTCTGCCTTCAATACCTGTATATCTTTCCTTAGATAATGGGACCAAAACTGTTCACAGCATTCCAGCTGTGGTCTGATGAGGGATATGTGCTGACTAAGTTACTAAGTTCTCCTCATCTCTGTTTTCAAAGCAAAACACCTCTTGTTTTTAACCCCTCATGGTTCTAGATTCCCCAACATGGAGAAACATCCTCTCAGCATCCATCCTGTTAAATCCCCACAAGGTCCGACATGTTTCAATAAGATCGCCTCTCATTCCACAGCGCTGCAGCAAGTATAGGCCCAACTTGTTAAATCTTTCTTCATTCATCTCAGGAATGGGTTGGTTGAACTTTCTTCAAACAGCTTCGCACACAATTATATCCTTTTACAAATAAGGAGGAAAAAAAATTGTAAACTGCACTCCCGACGTAGTTTAACAAAGGTCCCTGGATTGACAATTAGTGTAATAAGCAAGGTAAATGGGCTGGTGGCCTTTATTTCAAAGGGAACAGTGTAATAGTGTAGGCATGTCTTGCTAAAACTATACAAGGCCACAGCTGGAATACTGTGAACAGTTTTGGGCCCATTATCTAAGGAAAGATATATAGGTATTGAAGGCAGAGCAGAGAAAGTTCACTGGACTTATACCAGGTATAGAGGGACTGCCTTACGAGGAAAGGTTCAGTAGGTTGGGCTTGTACTCTTTGGAGCTTAGAAGAATGAGAGGTGACCTTATTGAAACAGATGTGATTCTCAGGGTAGATGTGGAGAGATTATCTCCCCTTGTGGGTACAGAAGGTATAATCTCACGGTAAGGAGTGTCCCTTTTAAAACAGATGAGGTGAAATTTCTTCTCTCAGAAGTTAATGAATCTGTGGAATGCTTTACTACAGAGGGCTGTTGGGGCTGGGCCATTAAGTATATTCAAGGCTGAGATAAACTGATTTGAAACATCGAAAATAGGAGCAGGAGTAGGCCATTCAGCCATGTGAGCCTGCACCACAATCAAAATGATCATGAGGTTGTTGATTTGCTCGCCGAGCTGGCTGGTTGTAGTTCAGGCATTTTGTCACCATGTTAGGTAACATCATCAGTGCAGCCTCCGATGAAGTGATGTTGTTCTACTCCACTATTTATATGATCCGGTCTGTTGGGGTGTTTTGTGTCATTGCCGGTTCTTTGTTTGCAAGGGTTTGAATATGGGGTCTAATTCCACAAGTTTATTGATTGCATTATGGGTAGGGAACCAGGCCTCTAGGAATTCCTGTGCGTGTCTGTGGTTGGTTTGAACTAGGATGGTCCCGTCGTCCCAGTTAAATCGATGGCCTTTGCTGTTGAGTGCACTGAAATGAGGGAAAGTTCATCGTGTCGTTTTGCTGCTAGCTGGTGTT